GCACACTCTCAAACACTAACAAGCTGGCAAGAAGATCTTTTGCTGTCTGTAGCTGCGTACCCATTCCCACCTGGGTGAATTGAGGAAAATTTATGTAAAGTGCCTTTCCCAAGGAAACAGTCAGGCCCCTGACAGGATTCGAACTCATAACCTTACCGTAGCGAGTCAGGGAGCTAAACCTTTAGGCCACTGATGTTACAAGGCAGAAGATGCACACACCTCCACATGATGAATTTATTGAATGCTGAAGCCTGCCGTGGGGAAACATTGCTTCTTTAATTTGAGAGGGAAAGAAATTGGTTTCTTTGCTCAGTCAGTTTTCATGGATTGTTGTGTTGTTGGTTGTTTGTATTGATCGTAGTTTTTCTGCGACTGAAGTTTGATTTATGTGATGAAATGTGTTCACTAGAACCACATACAGGAAGTTGATCATTTCCATCTTGTGACGAGATGAGAAAAACTTGCAGTGGCGATATTTCTGTAATTTACCCCTACCCCCCCCTTGCCTAAGGTGCTATGAATTTTTGCCATTCTACCTGGTCTATGATCATGAGCTTTTGGTCCTTTTGGAGATGGACTTTAAACTTGGGAGGTCATGCCTCTTAAAAAAACTGTTAGTGTTAATTCGTTCGATAGTCATAAATAAACAAGGTGCCATTTCACCGTTTAATTGATCGTGAGTTTAATGATTAGATAGAGATACCAAAATAATTGGGAAAAAAAATTTGCTTATTGAGGAGCTTTAACTTTCCCAAATTTTTTTTAATGGTTTCGTTTTTAAAAAAAATCTTTGTTCCATTAAAAACAAATATCTTCGGTGCCTTAGAGTTTAAAATGTTCTTGACAGTGTGCCTCTGTTTCCTACCACTTGCACAGTATTTTTACTTATATATATTGAAATTTTCGGTATACATATATATCATCGCTGCCGTGTGAAAAATGAGTAATTTGTGTGGCCTTATGAAGTCAGGCAACCGTCAAAATAATGAAGTTGAAGAAACCAACGGTTTCTTTCACCTATTTAGCAATTTTTCCCCCGATTTTTATCTCCACACATTTTATGTATTTCTGTGTCTGTTTTTATTGAAAAACATTAGTCAAATGCAAAAAAAAAATAATGTAAATTTACTGTCTCTAAAGACACTCAAGTTTTTGAAGTCACTCAACTTTTGCAGC